AATGCCGTTGGATGGAATATCAGTTATAATATAAAAAGTGGCTATTATATTTGTTGCATAAATTGTTAGGTAAAGGGTGAGATGTAGAATATTTTTTCATTACTGATTTTTTCTCTTAAACATGATATAAGTAAAACCTTAAGATCGCTATGCTTTAGACTAAAATTGGAGCAAAAATAATAATAATTCCAGATATTTAGTTTTTATTTCAACTTCAGATCTACATCTATGTCGTATGAGTAAAATGACAAAATAGAACAAGTTAAATCACTAATTTAATTAATGATGCAGTTATGAAGGATTTTGATTATTTTTCAAAAAGTTGTAGGAAAAGATAAAGTTATTGTACCGCTTTTTATATAAACATTATTTTGAACGAAAATAATTCATTTACATAAGATTTGCCGTTTTACTACAAATTGATGGTTTTGTAAAAGTCGAAATGTTTGTTATGTTGTATATGTTACGTTGAGAATATTAATTTTCAAGTAATTTAATGATAATATACTATACATATATTATCGTCAACAATTAAAGTTCCTTAGTAAAAGTGTTTATCTAGTTTAATACTACTAGATTTATCCTAGATTAAACATTTAAAGAATACATATATTTATACGAGGTGTAACCAAAATGCTTGTCCAAACTTGAATAACAGATTCTATTTCACAAATTCCTGGTGCAAAATGACATTCGAGCTGAACTTGGTAAATATAAAGATCACATTATGAACTGAGATCACATGAGCAACCATTGAGATTGATGTTTAGAATATGGACAAAAATAAAAAATATGTTTAATGCATGCGCAGAACATACTTGTAATTAGTGCCTTAGTTTCTTCAAAATCGCAATGTTAGCATAAATCATGATAAGAGAGGTCAATGAACTCCAAACAGCATTACATCATTCTAATACGGTATTGCATCATTCGATTTAGGTTCGATCAGCACCACATTGAAATTGATGGGGGATTTAAAATATATGTAATATTAAAAAAATGGCTGCATAGTAGATCTCGGGATGATGGGGATTGGCGGTAAATTCAAAAACTGAAATAATAGAAATAATATATATGTGACAAAATATATGTGTAAAACGTGTAATTAATTACTTTAAAATCAGTAAGTCAACACAAATCATACTTATAAGGAAGGTCAATGAACTCCAAACAGTATTACATCATTCTTATTCGGAATTGCATCAATATCAGCATATGAGTGGAATTAGCGGGAAATTCAAATCAAAATTTAGAAGTATTATCTTATGATTTTCATAATTATTTCGATGGCTATCATGATATGAAAAAATTCAACATGATTATCGATCTACGTAATAATAAACTGATAGAACAAAATTCCCGGCTTCATTATCGTGTTGGTGCTTGACCTTGAATTCGTTTACGAAATTCAATTATTTTACCGCATTTCATGTAGAATTCCTGAGATAACCAGCAAGCAATATCCAGGAACAACTCTTCTCGCACATACGTCCCAGAAATAATCGTATTGTATACGGGGTTCTTATTACCTGTTGCTGTTTGTAAGGGATAATAGTCCCCAGCACTTTCTGATGCATAATATCGCATAAGTTCTTTCGATCTTTTATTACGTAGCCAATATGGCGCTGCTAGTAGATGGCGCGGGTATTGTCTATCTAATAAAAAATTTAATTACTAGAAGAATTCTATGCTATTTAGGAAATTAGTTTAATAGAATTGGCGGTAAATTCAAAATTATTTGTTAACAAAAGAAATAAAATATATGTAACATTAAAATTTAAATGCCTGCATAGTAGATCTCGGCATGAGGGGATTGGAGGTAAATTCAAAAACTAAAATAATGTGAGAAAATATATGTGCAGAACATGTAATTAATTACTATAAAGTCAATAAGTCAACACAAATCATACCTATAAGGGAGGTCAATGAACTCCAAACAGCATTACATCGTTCTTACTCGGAATTGCATCAATATCAGCATATGAGTGGAATTAGCGAAAAATTTAAAACTAAAGATGAATAATGGAAATAGCATATGTATTGAAATTATAAAGCATGCGTATAAGCATTTGATTAGACGGAGCTGGCGGTAAGTTCAAAATTATAAATTAACAGAAAATATAATAATAAAATTAATATGTTATCTCAGTAAGAAGTGTAATTAGATACCTAATAGTTTAATCCAGATACGGGTCTTAAGCATGCAAGAAGAAATTAGGACATTATTTTTTATTAAAAGTACATACAGGGAATTTTGTTTAAAACGTGCTTATCGAGAGGTGAGAGGAATAGAATTTTGGAGAGGGAAGTGATAAATTCTTATAACTGTAATGTATTTCATTTATTTCAAAAGGTAATAACGGCGAGTGCTCTAATGATTTTGTGCAATATGTCTGTTCCAGTTAAATACAAATGTATCAAATGTGTTGGTGAAACGGAACTACCGAACACAAAATGTATTCCATGTGCGACTAAAGAAATAAACTGCAAACAGCATTACATCTTGTCATCAGGTATTGCATCATTCGATTGAGGTCACGTGATCAGCCGTTGATATTGAGGTTCAAATTTAAATATGAACAAAATAAAATATGTTTAATACATGCGCAGAACATACTTGTAATTTAATAACTTAATTCCATTAAAATTACCACGTTGGCATAAACTGTAATCTGATATCTACAAGAGAGTAAAAGAGGTCAATGAACTCCAAACAGTATTACATCAATCCCATCAGGTATTGCATCATTCGATTGAGGTCACGTGATCGATCGTTGATATTGAGATTCAACGTTAAATATGAACAAAAATAAAATATGTTTAATACATGCGCAGAACATACTTGTAATTAGTATCTTATTTCCATTAAAATCCCCAAGTCAGCAAAAATTGTAATCTAATAGAAACAAGAAATATATATATTTATTATTTTATTTTTATAGCTTATTATAATACACAGTTAAATTACTACAATGGCATCAAGTTCTTTTTAACAGAAAGTACAAAATTTTATATGCATTCCACAAATACAACAGACTTCCAAGTGACCGCAAGGTAGAAAAATTACGTTTCGTTCTCGCCTTCGACATATCCGGCAAACCTTTTCAGGCGGTCCCCAACATTCGTCCTCAGGAATGGAATTTCGCATTACTTCGATTGGCCTCCTACCAGACACTAAAGATGCTAAAAGCACTTATTGCTACACATGATTATGATATACTGAAGAATAATCGAACATCTAATGATTAAATTTACAGAACAAAAGTTGTGTTTTTAGTCGCTCTGTTCCTTGATAACAATTTGAATATTGCCCATTGTAAGTTGTTACAATCAGTGGTATTATACAATGGAGGTGGTAGGATTGTAATTCTTGAAGGTGCTGCGCTACTAAACCGTATGTTGTTGTTGATACCAATCAATCTGGAGAGCTGCGGCAAAGATGTGGCGTTTATGCTGTTTTCGCTACATTAACTTAATACCATAATACTTTTGAATGATTTTTGCGATGCTCTTCAGTACTAACGCAATTGTAGCAACTGTTATAAAGTAAATAAGCCCAGAAATTGTATTCATATCTGTTTTCGTAGCCTCAGACGCCACGATGAGTGCGTCTACATATACATCTTCATAATCGGAGCAGTTTAAAATAGGTAATGGTCTCCAGACATCGAAATCTCCAATCGATTTATCTTGAAATGTTATTCTCAACTTGTAGAATTTAGAATCTTCCGGAATTGGTGCCCCGAAGACCCTCAACTTTCCACCATTAACTACTGTATGCCTCATCTGAGTTAACGTATGCGGACACGTATCACTTTCGCTGGCATTTCGGTAGCACACATACATTTCTTCTACGTTGTGTATATCATGTACATATAACACATTTTGTAGTACTGCAGTTAAAATTATGAAATTGAAACGTAAAACGGCCATCGTTGTTAAGCAACAGACCACTGCCTATAAACGAATGAGCTACATAATAATTTGTAAAGCCATATAACTGGTTTTTCTTATACCTGAAAAGTAGAGGGGGAGAGGAAATAAAACAAACAAGGATAAGTAAACATATATTAAGCATATTAAAATATAATAAATGTATTATAACGTAATTGGTACAATTCTTGTAGATGTAGGTCCATCCTTCGTTGCAGAAAATCGATGAGGATTCGTAAATACGTCATCCCACTTGTCTTGAATATTCATCTTTTGAAACTGTTTAGTCACTTCACATTGGCTATCGTAGTGTGTTATTTCGGATTTTAATTGGCGAATTTTTTCAAGGTGTTTATCTAATAACAGCTCGAGAATTTTGGAAGTCGTTTTAATTCTTCTTTTAAATCTAAGTCTGTCCACAGCGAAAGATTCCCAGTATCTACGCCGAGCTGCAGTAGATGCAAAAGTCCACGTTTTCATTAGATACACTTTATTTTTAGATTCGTCGAAAGTAACTGTTTTCTTCTTCATTGCTGCAATAGGTTGTATATCCAAAGGAAAAGATCCTCACAGTTCCTCCTGCTGCATCTGAATGTTTTATTTAGATTCATATGATATTATTATATTACATATTATTTTTTAAGCTAAATTCTTTACGATTTCGCTAAGTGGGAAGTGTTCGTGTACGATTATACAATAGGCGCTGGTATTATCAGGAAAACCTTGTGCTGTTTCAAATGTCCAATCTTACGTCCACGATAGATGATTTTATGCTTTCGTCATAATAGACTGATTTTTAATGTGAGGATGAAGCATCAATGCTAGTTAATAGAGCCATTCTGAACAACCACTACGTTTGAAAAGGATGTATAAGATCTATTGGGACCACCAAAAATTTTAATACAACATTCGCAGGAAGATATCTCGATTGCAACTGACTGGTATATGATAGGAGAAGGCAGTATCCAGCATAAACATAAATCGTTCATGGTAGACGATTATAATTCTGTACACAGATCGGCCATCTAAAGACAAATGAAGATGATGAGGTGGAGATGATTGGTAAGTTACTGAATTATTCCCATATCATGTAGCTTGTTGATAATGCCACTACAGAGGTGATGTTCTTTAGTCAAACGACACTCTTCGATATAATAGCGTAAATCATTTACAAGTTTGTCGGGATCGTCTCCGCTCTCTCTTTCTAGCATATCTTCGCTGCTCTCACAATCTGTTTCTAATTGTTCATCATTATCCATGTTTAACGTTTCATTATCATAGCAGTCGAGGGGTCTGTATATATATTTTGTATTACAGGTACTGTTCATGTCGTGGGCGGTTAGCTCGCTGTTATCAATAATCTGCTGATGTTTGGTTTCCCTGTGAGCGATTAAGTTGTACTGTCTTGTAAATTTCTTTCCACATGTGTCGCAGGGAAATGTGATAGATTTATGCTTGTTAGCGTGACGACTAAGTCCACTTTTATATGCAAACCCCTTGGAGCAAATGTCGCACGTATACATGTTTACTCTTTGAGTAGCAGCTGTATAATGAATATGTATCGTCACGTAAAACTGAATAATCATAACGTAAGAACTGGATAATCGTCACGAAAAACTGGATAATCATCACGTAAAACTGGATAATCATCACGTAAAACTGGATAATCATCACGTAAAGACTGGATAATCCACGTAAAAACTGGATAATCATCACGTAAAAACTGGATAATCGTCAGGTAAAACTGGATAATCATCACATAAAACTGGATAATCATCACGTAAAGACTGGATAATCATCACGTAGAACTGGATAATCATCACGTAAAGACTGGATAATCCACGTAAAAACTGGATAATCATCACGTAAAGACTGGATAATCGTCACGTAAAACTGGATAACCATTACGTAAGTTACTGCTACAGACCTGTTTCTTACAGCCTGCAACTTGTTTTTTGTCAGCCTGTAACCCGTTTTTTACTGCTATAGACCTGTTTTTCACAGCCTGCAACCTGTTTTTTACTGCTACAGACCTGTTTTTTACAGCCTATAACCTGTTTTTTACTGCTACAGACCTGTTTTTTACAGCCTGCAACCTGTTTTTTACTGCTACAGCCGGGAACCTGTATTTTTTCTGCTACAGACCTGTTTTTTACAGCCTGCAACCTGTTTTTACTGCTACGCCTGTAACCTGTTTTTTACTGCTACAGACCTGTTTTTTACAGTCTGTAAACTGAAATTTGTCTGACGGATCGCAGTGTTATAGACGAGGCACACGGAACAAACAAATGGCTTTGACAGAAGTTTGTTTATCATCAATAATTTATTTCCTATAACTCTTTTGACAAAGAAATAATGTTTAGTGAAAACGGAAAATTTGAAGTTATCCGTTTATTTACGTAAGACTGGATGATCATCACATAAAATTTTACGTGACGATTATCCAGTCTTAATGTGATGATTATCCAGATTTTATGTTATTATCCAGTTTTATGTGATGATTATCCAGTTTTATGTGATGATTATCCAGTTTTACCTGACGGTTATCCAGTCTTTACGTGCTGATTATCCAGTTTTACGTGATGAATATCCAGTTTTACGTGATGATTATCCAGTCTTTACGTGATGATTATCCAGTTTTATGTGATTATCCAGTTTTACCTGACGATTATCCAGTCTTTACGTGATGATTATACAGTCTTTACGTGGATTATCCAGTCTTTACGTGATGATTATCCAGTTTTACCTGACGATTATCCTGTCTTTACGTGATGATTATCCAGTTCTACGTGATGGTTATCCAGTTTTATGTGATGATTATCCAGTTTTACCTGACGATTATCCAGTTTTACGTGATGATTATCCAGTCTTTACGTGATGATTATCCAGTTTTATGTGATGATTATCCAGTTTTACCTGACGATTATCCAGTCTTTACGTGATGATTATCCAGTTTTA